AGACCTGTTCAAAATTGACCACAAAAATCGATTACCGCCCAGCAGATCTCTTCACTCGCTACTACCAGTGGCTTGCTGAAGATGTTTTACCTCATACTATGCAGCCTCTTTATTGTACTAATTAAGGCTTATGAAGGCCACAGACGGAGGACTAGGTGTTTTTCTGCAACAGAAAAATGTTCCCTATTGTTATGCGAAACACTAGGTAAGTGAATGTGCGTATTTGAGGCTGAAATATTCATTGTTTTTGCAAACCTTCTCCCTCTACTGTTCTTTCCTTTCTTGTAGATATCTTAGGGTCTGACGTTTGCAATGCAAGTCTTTCAACTATAAGCCCAGCCCCAGTTTACGCCCTTAGTACTACTGTACCAATTGTAGGACACTCAAGGTAAACTTGTATGCACTATGTAATTGCACTTTCGAACATTTCTATGTTGATTATGTGGGACACATTCTGATTTAGGCTGCAAATGGAACTGTGATAAGTAGCTTAGTTGTTGTTTATTTTTTGCTACTTCCAGAAGGTTACGATGCAAGAGGGAGAAAAAATGTCGTTTTGAGTCGTGCGCGGAGCAAAATCAAAGTAATGAACTTCAGGCAAAGAGAAAATTTCCAGCCCATAAACCTAAGGCAACGGGAGACTATTGTTATTACTTCTACAATGATGGGAACTTCGTCCCTATAAAAATAGAAGCACGAAGGAAGGAAGTTGAGGAGGAGTCGAAGATGATGCCGTTATCCCCGAAGGCCTACCTACCAGCGGCGCTTTCGGATTGGGACTTTTCAAAGAAGGAATGGACCAATGGCGAAGCTGCTGCTGCTGCTGGTGAGGGCATGGGTTCCGGCTCGTCTGGGGACAGTAGGCCAAGCCGAGGGCGTTTTGCTTACAAAGGCAATATAAAATGGACACACAGTGAGTGTTTTGTTTCATGAGGAGTGCTGTAAAGCTTAGTTAGTTAGACAGTTCTCCTACTTACAGATGTCTGCTTCCGCATGCCTAATCTATTCTTAGACTCAGCTAATAAATGTCTGTTTTTATTTACTTTTTAAGAAAATCCTTCAAAGGCAGCCAGAACAGCAGCAGCAGCACCGTCGTCATCGGCAGTTCAAGATGGATGCGAAGTAGAGGAAGGCAGATCAAGAAATATCCCGTTTCGGATGCGTTTGAAGTCCGCCAGAGCTCGCTTCTTCGGTTGTTTTGGAGCCAAATGATTTTATTTCACTGTAAGTCTACCAGATTCATACAAAACAAAGAAAGCCATTGTGAGAATTTGCTGGATGGAGGTGCCACGGAAGTTATTACAAGAAATTCGAATTGTACTAACGTAAGCCTAAAGGTAGCTTGTAAGTGTATTCCACAATAAATAGCTGAAACGCTAAACGCCTTCCGTTTCATTTAATGTTGTAGGTTCTATCGGGCTTGGTATCGGAGTAATCTCTGGACGAGTTCCGGGTTTGAGCTCGGGTGGTGCACTAGTGGGGGTTGGGTATAACCTGCCGATGGCGGCT